CCTGCTGAAGACTGAACGTTGTTTTGCTAGCCTCAGAAAATCATCCACCAGTTGCTGTTTCTGACCATTTGGGTTTGGCAAATGAAAGATCTTTGCCAGTGTTTTTAGCTCAGGGGCTGAAAGCAAGTCCAATCCTTCACACAAGTCTTTCAATTCAGATTCTGAAAGTAAAATGCCCCATGTATATTTATTATGTGCTATACATACACACTCAAGCAACAGCTCCAAGTATAGTATATTTGCATAACCTAATACTAATCTAATTATTTAGGTTCTTTAGAAATGTATAATCAATGCTGGCTGGTTCAGCTTGAAATTCTGTCTCTTCACTGGTCCAGTTGGAATGAATGGAATAATCAGAAAAAAAATCCCTTTGCAACTTCAAAACAAAAGCAAATATAAAGCAATTCTGCTGTGCTACGAAAAAAAAATGCTATTAGGAAAAACTTGCAATGCAAAAACAAGTGCTGTCAGGGGGCAGCAAGAGCAGAACTGCTTGACAAGGAGGAATAAACCAGGAGCGAACAGTGACCACAGCACTAGCAGAGTCCTCACCAACCCTGGTGTAGTCCCACCATAAATTAAGAGTGGGCAGAGCAGAAGTCCTGGCAACAGATTGCACTAGCAGCCCCAGAAAAGGCATGATGATGTCTCAGGTCCAGGGTTGATCTAAGAAATAAGCTGGACATAAAGACTAGACACAAGACTACAAAGTATGTTTCAGATCCACCCACAGAACAGGGCCACAGGCAAGACTGGAAACAAACACATGCTGCACTGGCTGGAGGTCTAGCCAGCCAGGGATGGACAGGGCCAGGGAAAGGGTGCCTGCCAGACAGCCCAGGGCAGTACTGAAGGATGGTAAGCGCAGTTCCTGGACCAGTGTGCAGAGGCTGCCCAGGTCAGGGCCAGAGATGAGGCTGGTGAGGGTAAGTAAGGCCTATTGTTGCACCTGTAGCCCTGACATTTATTTAACTATCCCTAGTACCTAATCTGCACTAACTGCTTTTATTATTAATGTAACACAACTCATCTACCTGAAAACTTGACTCTGCTCCTCTGATTCTCTTCTCAAAGTACAAACAAGCATGTAGTAGATTAAACTCTAACATGACACAACTGCAGATTTTATTTGTAATATTTTTAATATCTATTAATGATGGCCATACCTGTTTGCAGAAATTTGGCTTCAGCCAGTTCTTCAATCATTGGTGACAAATCCGTACTTATCTCTCCATACTCTATTTTGTTCACCTTTAACCAGTTCAGCTTGCGTTGAAAAAGTCTCACATACAACTTCTGCCCACCAACTGCAAATTTTATTTCAAGCACAGAAGGATAAAAAGAAAATTAAATTCTAAAACACAGTGCTATGCATCTATCTTTCCTTGAAAAATTACTTTGATGCAGATATCCTCTAAAATGCATTTTAAATATGCCCATGTTTTATGAGCAGACTTAGTAAAATACCAGAACTTACCTTTCCAAGTAATTATTGTTCATTAAAAACTTTCAGTAGGAAATGATTACAATGTATTTTGTCGGTAATGAACACTGCTAAAATGTATTTTGGACATGCTTACCCTTTAAGAAATAATTTGTTTGCTATGAACAGACAGCTTTGTTTTTCAAACTCTGCATATTGCAATATTAAATAGGTCTTTTTTGCTTTCTTGAACATTCAATACTTGATGCTGAGGAACAAAAGAAGCTGTAGTCTGACAGACTGATTTCACAATCATAGAACATCTCTGTAGCAGTCTTCAGATTCTTATTTTTCCAAAGATAAGCATAATTATACTAATATATCTACTGAAAACAAGGGGAAAAGACCTCCTAACCATTTGACTTTTATCAGAGAGGGGCTCTGTTACAGTGTCTCTAAAAATACTTTAAAAATACTAACAGTGCTGAAATTCAACAAAATAGCTTATGGAATCTTAGATGAAAATAGTCTTTTGAATACTTAATTCATCCTTCATTAACACAGAAACGTCCTTTCTCCACAGAACAGAAACTGATCAAACTCGGGTTGCAATCCAGTACATGCATGTGAGAACTGCTTTCTCTCTAAAGGATTTGAATGACAAAGAAAAGAACAAAAAGGTATTGTACAATTATTTAATTACTTCTTAAGTATCCTGTTCTGCACTACACTACTTTTGAAGGTTTGGGGTTTGTTTTTTCTTTTGTAGTTCTTAAGAAAGATGTATCACTGAAATAAAAAAATTGCTCTAATTTGAAATATTATCAGCCAAAAGATGCAGATGATCTTAGAAATGTCACCCCCTATTATTTACTAAAATGCAAGAGAAAAAAATTACATTTTTTCTTGTTCAGTTTTCTGTACCTCAGTTCTACTAGTGATGATAAATGGGTGTTTCTCAGATATGATCATTCTGTTGTATAGAAATTGTAAGGAGGACTTGACAAAGTGCAGTAAGTAGTGTCACTAGAACTGTGTGTTTGGATTTAAATTTTTCCAGCTGCAACTTGCAATGAAATTAAACCTGGAGAGAAAGTTAACTATTGTAATACTCTTACGGCCGTGTGAGCACCAATAGGCTCTGCAACCCCTTCCCAGCCCCCACGGTTTTCTGCTGCTGTTCAAGGTCAGCTCTGACGTGGTGCAGCTGCGGAAGCCGGGTCCAGCCCGCCGGGAGGACCCGTGTGCGGGCTGTGCCCCGGCTCTTGCTCTGGCCGACACCCCGCGGGCTCGGCTTCACCTCGCTCTTGCCTGCTTGCTACAGGCTGGCCTGAAGACTCGCCCCTCTCGGAGCACAGGTGGCGGCAGCACCGGCCGGCCCTGCTCCCCTTTGGGCAGCCTGGGCTTATCCCCCCGAGCAGATGAGGAGAGGACGTGGCCCCTGCCTGGGCTGCTGCCTTTGGCTCCTGGCTCCTCTTCCCATGCAGACTTGGCTGCTCTTGCTGCTCCCTGGCAAATACAATCCTGTGGTATGAGCTCATCTTACAATATCGTCATATCTTTATGTTAGTATTACTCTTTGTTTTTGTAAATGTCTGGTGTTCCTGTGTAATTGTAATAATTTCCTCCTCTGGAGTTTCTTCACCTTTTCAGCAACCATGTCTTAAGATGGTTTGAGTCAGCTCAGCTGACTTTTCCACTTGGACAAATGAAGAGTGTTCCTATGGTCCCTTCCAGCTGCTAGAATTTGGAAGATCTTAAGTCAAAAAAAGACATTTCTGAGATTGTTCCACCACAGTTTAAAGTACCTCCTAGAGAAACAGATATGCACTGACTCAATTTTTTCAAGGAACCAAGATTGTGAACTTATCAGGGCTCTTCTTCCTACAAATCTCAAGCCAACACTTCTCCATTTTTGTCACTCAGTATCCTATATTAAAAACCTTCTGATTTCATATACACTAACCTAATCTCATTCTATTATTCTCCACATCTATACAAGTTATTAGAAAAGCACTTACTGAAAATCTCTGATATGCCTTGGAGAACTTCTACATAACTGCTAATTACAAGTTATGATCTTGATACTCTTTTGTATTGTCCTGTGGTGTCAATCCACAATATCATTTGGAACTTTATATATACAAACATTAAGGGACTAAGTGCTCTGAACAGCATTGTGATGCTCTAATTTTGCAGCTCAAAGTACTGGTAATGCTACTCTTAATTACAGTTTAAGATAAGTTATAAATACACATAAAAAACTGGAGTGTTAGTTTTAACTTGCATCACTTCTGACAGGCTTCGACTGTAAAACTTGTATAGGATTCAGACATGTCTGCTTTGAATCTTGCCTAAATATGGGCCTAAATCTCCAACATTCCTACTGAAATTAGTGAGATTTAAAAGTACTAAGTAACCTACAAGAAAATGACTGTTAATGAGTAACAAGCATTCTAAACACTGAATAACAATTATAGGGATAACCACAGATTCATACCAAGCATGAAAGTAATCTGTAAATGTTCTGAATCAACACTCACAACCACTACTTCAGAAATACTTTTTTCCAGGTCTATGTATCCAGCATATGCCTCTTCATAACCCCATTTTGTAGAATTCCCATATGTAATAATAATAAAAAATTTAGTGTTAACTGATACTCGTTTCCTGTGCTGAGCTTCCATCTTTGGAAACGTGTTCAAATGCAGCAGCAAGCTGACTTAAGATTCTAAAAACAGTATTAAAACAGTAACAAAAAAAGTATACAAAAAACCCCAGAAATATATAGTTTCAGGATCTCCTTATTTCTTACAAGTCTGCACTATTTATCGTTACCTTCCACTAAAGCAACATCAGGAAAGTTTACATACTGAGAGACACGTCTCCTGAGAAAAAGGAGCTTCTTGCCTTATGGAATTTATGAAGCTAAACTGACCATTAGTATAGCACCCTTCACATAAAACTGTGTAACAGTTCTCTCCACAAGCAACAATATGAAAATATATTAAAAAAAGATACCTGATAATTTGCAGAACTCTGCTATAATTTTCATATCTTGCTCATCAAAGAGTCTGATATCATCTTCATTCTCCAAGACTGCTCGCAGCACCACTAAAAAATTCCGGAGGTAATATGGGTGACCAGGAGAACTGGGCACAGAGATAACCTCATTTATTTTGTCTAAAATGTCCCCAATGGAATTTTGAAACTCCACCCTTCCCACAGTTTCTGACAAAGTCTGATTAATCTCATCTTCAAAGTCTCCATGAACTTCCACAGGAAGTACCTGTTCGTTGCTCTTGCTTAAGCAACTTTGTGCACCACCATTCACTTCTGTCTTGGAAGAAGGACCAACCTGAGTGTCAGGCTGACTCTTGACTTCCAAACTGTGGGTCAGCCCTGCTTGATGAGTTTCAAATTTGTCAGAACCCAGTATCACATCTTCAGCACTACTTTCTGTTTTGGTGTTCCTTGTAATGATTGGTGATCTTTTGCCATTAGTCTTATCAGCTGGTGACGATACCTGAACAATATTCATACGGTCTTCTCCCTTGCATTTCTTTACTTCTTCTTGAAATTCAGATTCCTTCTTCATAAAATGTTCCGGGCTCTCTCCCTGAGCAAGTTGATTTTCTTTCTGAGAACTATTCCCAGCGTAAAACTCTTCATCATCATCCTGTGCTTCAGCACTTTTGCACATACTGTGAACAGCTGGAGGTGAAGACTCAGTCTCTTTATACGTGACCTGTTTCCCTCCCTGGGTACGTCGTCTTCTGGACAGTTTAGATGACAAGCTCCCCAAGGAGACTATTTTAACTGTTTGAGCCTGTGGTTCATTGTTAACACTACAGACTGAACTATTACGGCTGAAGTAAGGACTAAGTTGTTGTGCTGTACTCCCATCTGTTTTCAGTGAACTCCTTTTGGAGGGACCTGTTTCTAGATTTAAGAGGTTTTTTGAAAAATATGAGCTGGATTTACTGTTCACATTTGCAGCTGATGGACTCTCATTCCTAAAAGAGCTGAGTGTTGAATCAGTGATGCCAATCTCACCATGGTTGGTCTGACACGTTTTATCCATGTGCTCATTTATTCTGCATCTTGGCACCATCTGCCCACACATGGGACAGGTAATTTCAGGGGGGGGGGCATTGTTAAAAAAGGAAATAATAGAGGAGGATGCTGAAGGTATAGATGGTGTTCCTTTACCTTCCACTTTTTGTCTTTTATTTTTACTGAGTGACAAACTTTTTCGAGATCTTTTAATTTCTGAAGACCCAGTTTCTGCCATCACAAAACCTGAAGCATTTACATGGCATAGGCAACTTCATTCAGGCCTCGTTTCCTTAACCTGTAACACTCTAAAGAAGAAAAAATACTTTCCTTGGCTTTGCGTTTTCCATCTGTAACCCTCCGACATGCCTTCAAGGAAAAACAAAAATTAAAAAAAATTGAATTAAAGCTACGCAACCGAGATGAACGGCGGAGAATAAAAAAAAGGCCCTAAATGTGGAGTCCCCCGGCGCTGACCCGCGCAGGACACACCGCGCCGAGCTCCCGCTTCTCACTGCTCACATGCCACGCTCCTCGGCTGATGTGAAGGAAAACACGAGGTACAATTCCAGGCAC